CGGTGTCTCAGAAGCGTTGCTAGTATTGGACGGCGCCAAAGGATTCGTAACGAGGTGATTAGAAAATGGATATTTGGTTGTGCAGTAGGTACTTCAGTCGCGGAAATCATCTAGCATCACAGACTACGATGGCTCGTTCATGTGCTACGCCGAAACGCCGTCTACTGAAACGAGTGTTGTTCTCTGTGCCTCCTTCAGGATGGCGCAAACCGCGAGTTCGACAACGCATGACTTAGCAGGAGAGCGTGAAAGAGTGCCGTATGACCACCTGCCCATGCCCGTCCCCGTGCCCATACCTGTGCTTGGCTGGTGACATTGCAAGAAATGGTGGCCGATCGATTTCAGTGGCACGTGTGTTGTTAGTTTCTCTCCAGATTGCCTGATTCGGCGCTTGGAGGTGTAGACTACTCTGAATGCTTGACATAGGTCAGCTTCAGGTCCCATCTCCTAACCACTCTTTTTCTTTTCGTTTCACTTGAAGGTTTTAAATATTATTAAATACGGAAGTGGAGCACTAGTGTCAGCACCCCCTCTGGATCGCCGGACGCAAACATAAAATGTGAAAAAGCTGAATTCACCCTTGGCGCTTTAAAGTGCATGACTCTTGTAGGCGTATTTCAGAGAAGGCCTACGTTAATACCAGGGAATATAAGGTTTGGGCAAGTATTGTCTGTTTTCCAATTTGACGTGGAGTACGGCGTTGAAAGCTCCTGTGTAGAAAGGATCTCTTGGATTTAGCTGTATTATCTGATTTATCGTTACTGGGCGGAGAAGAGTCGGTCGTACAACTGACAATCGAATAATCCAGCAACGTCTGCTTGCAGAGTGGGGAGGAATCTGGGAGAAAAATATCTGCGGGCAGATGGTACTTCTAGGTTGTCCGGGCCAAATAAGAAGGCTTGGTTGAAGTGTTCTACATAGAGATTTTGACTAAAAAATCTACCCGGCGAGGCAGCTAGTAGTAGCGTTGTCTTGGGGGACTGTGCACGGAGGTGACGACTCAACAGTATATACCATTCGGCTGAAAAAGCTGGTGTTATTCGAAGGCGTAGAGAGTGAGGCATGGACGTCTCACTCCTGATGCTACCCTGAAGAATAGAGGCGTCCGGAGCTCAAACTCATGACAACGCTAAGGTGTTCTCCGACCGCATCGAGTAACTCGCCGGCGGCCAAGCGTTTGCCAATCGGTGTGCGGTTTTTAGGTCCAGTTTCTAACCTGTCCTTCCCCGAAGGAAGGCAACATCACTGCTTCCCTTAATATAGACGAACTGGTCAACTGGAGGAAACACCCTGCAACCTCTGCAATCCGATTGCAGCAAAAAATTTACCCCAGATAGCCTTACAATGCTATTACCCGCAGTACGGGGTCTCGAAGCTCCCCGTTGACCATCCTGACATGGTTGCACATTGTGGGACGAAGTTGCAGTCAGTGTAGTCCGCGGGATATTTGGAACCACCATGTCAAGGTGAAAGCTTTAGGCTGGGTCGTTGCAACTAAACGTATCTTATCACGTTTGTTCGCCAAGTCCTTCACTCTCCGCGTTAAGTCATGAAGAAAATCGTTCAGCCGTAACATCCGTTTAGTACATAGCTGCCACCCACCCAAAGGAAGCACGAAAAGGGAAGGTTTGAAGGCGTGAGCAGAATGAATACCTGGAAGATGGGATTGTGGCTCGGAAGCGGCCTTTGCGGTTGATTGACAGGATCAATAACCAAGATCCCGAGGAACCGTGCCTTTTGCGCCAAAGTTTTGGAGGTTGCCAAGTGGAAGTTGGGAATTGGGATCTAGTCCTGTTAGAAGTGAAGGAAGTGTCTGAACAACAAATAATGGTTTTGACTGAGGAAAAGTTGGAGGATACCCTGAAGTATTTACTGCCTTCGTTGTTGCCAGTTGTTCGTCATCGTTTAAAGTAGTGAGTGAGTCGTCCTACTTGGTGGTAGTAGATTCTTTTTGATGAAGCTGGCATGTTCCGGTCAGCTTGAATTGATTGATGATAAACGGATGAACGGCAGGCATACCTGCCACAGATTGAGCCCGCCAACTGAGGAAGAACGAGTCGTCCGGAAATGTAACGGCCAGAGAAGGTTTCAACACCAAATATTCGTTTCAAGAGTTAGCTATCATCTGCACAGCGTGTAAGACCATCATTATCATTATCATGGACAGCATCACAGCAGTGTTCAACACCGATGCTTCGCTGACGTACAAACACGATTTATTTGAAAGCCTTATTGTACACGAAGAAGGGGCTTAGTGCTAGCTTGCCACACTCATTCCGAGGTGCCAACACCTCCAGACACTCATTCAAGCAATCTCGCAGCGTCATCAACCAGGCGCAGTGGGGATCGCGCGGCCCCCATCCTGGTAGGCGAGTGGTACCAACAGCACACGAACGTTTCGTAATTTATTTTATACCCCTCTGACAGGTCAAGGGATGGTAACCTCTCTGCTTCCGCCACTTTCAATTGAGCACGGAAACAGCACTATTTTCTGCAAACGATGGTTCGGCATACGCAATAAACAGCTGGACATTATTCAATGGAAGAACCCGTTGCACAACCGGAAACTCGCTTCCTAGTTGCCTGGTTATGGATTCCACGACATACATCTAGATTATATATGGCCCTGAGACAACGACTGTCGAACACCTGAAGATGTTTCAGTTCTTCTCGAACAACATGCGGTCAGCATATCTGAAGCAATCGTTCCCCATTGTCCGTACGTAACGAGTCCAGTCCATGTCGACCTCCTAAATGAGTCTCGGATGCACTAAGCCTGCCTACTTGCGCATTCATACCTCCGGCAACCACCATGTCTGAGCTCTTAGCCTGCCGCAGCAGGACATTCAGGGCGTCGTAAAACCTGTCTTTGACGGTGTCGGAGTTACAGTCACTTGGGGCGCAATCGGACACGATAAACCGACATCGATCAATTTCCCACTTGCGAAACTTCTTCATAGACGTTTCCAGACGGACCGCGCGGAGGCGACTATCAACAAATATCTTGTCAAGCAAGGATCCTTCAACCCGGTGACGATACCAAATCCTGCACATCCCGCCGCAGCAGCCTGTGGATCACCAGAGGTGTGTGGCTGGAAGCGAATGTGGAGTGATGAGGCGGTTAGCTCAGACATTGTGATCGCATCTTGAATTCTTCTTTCTGTTACAAAGCGCACACCAATGCCAAGTGAGTCCAGTGTGAGAGCAGGGTCATCTTGTCTTCCTGTTTGCTTCAGAATGCGGGGATTGAAGGTGACCAAATAAACTGGGCGTCGAGGCTTGAAGATTGATTCTGAGATGCCTGAGAATGTCAGCACTGGATGACGCCCAGATGTCTTTGTCCAAATCTGTGCAAGAACGAAATAATCAATCCTAACTAACGGGCGTACAAGGAGGAAAAGAAAAAGTATGTGAGAGAAAGAAGGGATGCGTTCACAATAGAATGTTTTCGCTTACCCGCCCTGTTGTGTTCATAAAAGCGTTCAGCAGTAGCACCCTTCCGGTGCCTAGCTGCCATGCCACCCGAAGGAAGCACGAGGGCTGGGATACTGCCAGGTTGCCCAAGCCTAGACAGGGGAAGTCGAGTGGCGGAGGTCGGATTCGAACCGCGGACCTTCAGGTTAGTAATCCGCGCTCTAACCACTTCGGCCATCTCGCCCCCTAATCGTTCAGCTGTAGCACCCTTCCGGTGCCTAGCTGCCATGCCACCCGAAGGAAGCACGAGGGCTGGGATACTGCCAGGTTGCCCAAGCCTAGACAGGGGAAGTCGAGTGGCGGAGGTCGGATTCGAACCGCGGACCTTCAGGTTAGTAATCCGCGCTCTAACCACTTCGGCCATCTCGCCTGTTCATAGCAATAGGCGACCCGGCTAGTGGAACCACGCGAAAGCCGATGCGGCATGAGAGTATTGCTACTTGTAGGTGTCATGGTTGTACGTTGGCTGAGGTACTGCCAGGAGCCCAAAGTGGTTAGAGCGAGAATTTACTGACCAGAAGGTCCGTGGTTCGAATCCGACCTTCGCCACTCGACTTCCCCTGTCTAGGTTTGGGCAACCTGGCGGTATCCCAGCCCTCGTGCTTCCTTCGGGTGGCATGGCAGCTAGGCACCGAAAGGGTGCTACAGCTGAACGCCTTATCTTTATCTTCTTTATCAGGAGCCCACACCTAAACAGGAGGACAACTAGGGCCCTCAGCCAAAGCCTTCGGCTCAAAAGCGTGACCGTAATGTAGCAGTGCTTGCGGGGAATGCAGGTACAATACCGCTTATAAGGAACACGCCGCCAAACATGTTCCAACCACGAACCTGGTGGAGGACAGGAGGCTGTCCGTCAGGCCTCTACCCATGGACTACCCTGGTATGAGAGACTCCGTGTCGCGCGGACACCCAGTATAGCTCAGCGGGTCGCCGGATTAAACAAACGGTTCCACCACGGAAAATCCCAGGGTCTTCGAGACGCGAATGTAAGACCACTGCACCCTGACCAGCAGGACCAAATGTGATTGGTGGTCGTGAGGCGTTCAGGTACCAAGGAAGCAGGTGACAGTGTTTAATTCCAGGTGAGGATGAAGAGACAAAATGGAGGTGGCTGGCGTGGAGCACTGAATTATTAGCAAAGCATATGAACAGAAAATTCTTTGCTTTTCACGCGGTCAGCCAAGTGTCAGCACGGGACTGTTGGAAGGTGCTGCATATGCCGCGATTTCGACGGCAAGTGTTGCAGCATCGTTTTTCAAACACGTGTTAAAAGTGCCTCACTATTGTTCTTGTAATAGAATGACCTGGTTTAGATGCGGACAACCTAACCATGAAATCTTCTGATAGTTTTCTTACCTGTGCTTTCAGCGAAAGCTGTCGAGTGGGAGAGACTGGATGTGCTGGGTTGACAGTAACATGAAATGGATCGAGTGCAATATAAGTAGCACATTCTGCAGTTAAAAACTTCGGGCAGGGGAAGATGGGGCTGAGAAATTGGCGAAGTTCGGTGCGAATTGCACAGAAGAATGATTTCAGTGCGCAGTGCCGACACGGAATGCAAGCCTACCGCAACCTCGACCACCACAATGACCACACAATACGAGGACACTAAGGCAAGTTATGATCAGTATTTCCCGTACGGTGAGGGCCAATGTTTTTAAGGGGAATAGCTAATACGTCCTACCACAAAACCAGCTTCGAAACCGTATGGCAAGATGAGACATTCATATATGCGAAACCTGGTTCAAAAGTCGTACCAAGCTCTATGGTGCAAACCGTGCGGTCAGTAGAGTTTAAAGTCGCCAAGTATTACAAATCGATTGGTAGTAGCTCTCAAGGAAGCCCAAAATGGGCCGAAATCGTTCAAAACTTAGTGAAATCACCATCCATAAAACTCGAACAACGCGCCAAGGTCACTTCATGTTTGTACACGGAGAATGAGTTCAGAATCAGAATATGCAAATGTAGACCATCACAACGGATGTTAAAGGTTGATCGAAAGTAAGACCCAGGATTTCAAGCTCCTCCAAGGTTACAACAGCCAGTTTAAAATTAGAAGCAGATATTAACTGTGTTACCGACGTCCCACCAATCTTTTCGGCAGAATCACATGTATGCATCGTGAGGATTTATGGCAGGGGTAGGGTAAAATGCTCGACAATTTCCGCAGTTCAAAGGGCCGGTGATTGAAACTAGAAAAAAAGTGTATTTGTCATCAGCTCTGTTTGGTATGATGGGATTCGACATTCTATAGCAGAATGAAATATGACTTGCACTGCCAACGAAAATACGCCTGGATTTGGGGCACGCGCTCGTCAAAACCGAGGGACTTGGACGACTGTGTCCGGCAGACGCGCACTACTTTAGCAAGAGTAGGCCGGCCACTGGTGAATACCACTGAGCGCAAATTTAGTACAGCTTTCTCTGTCCGGAGTCTCCTACAGATTTTGAGTGCTTTACTGACAGAATTTTATTGAAAGGTTACCAATACAACATCCAGAAGATCCTTCAATAGCAGCGATTCTGACTTGCTTATGCCTTTAATAACGCATAAACATAGCTATCCGATAATCGTTCGATGTGTAAGAATTGTTGCAACTGTTGGCAGAAAATGTTAAATGTTGGTGCTAGTTCAGAAAAACACGCATATAGACTCAAAAACAAGTAGGCGCGATAACAGCTGTTTCCTATGCACCAAGCGAACGAGGACATTTTGGTGGCTCTAAAATGAGCTAGGGAGAACACCACCGTGGGGCCAGCTTGGTGAAGCGACCTCAAGTGTGTCTGAGGTGGGCAGCTGGACGCGAGCTACACGTTTCTTGGTCGCATTTTTCTGGCAGTTCCATTCAGATTTCGTACGCCGGGTGGATAATTTATCCTTGTACTATTATTACTATTTGATGCGTCCCCACAACAAGGCATGGCTAGGTGGTTGGCAAATTATTGGGGTATATGTTGCGCGGTAAGTATTTTTCCAGTCGGTGACAAACTACGGATAGTCCGATCAAACGCTTGACCTCCCAACAGGGTTATTGAGCTAATAAAATCAGCCACCTCAAGTTGCTGCACACTTGCGTTATACTTTGGAGTTTTGTTGTTTCTTCGCAATACAGTCGCAGAGAAGTAAGTGTACTCCCAGTCTTTTGTTGTTGAAGAAAAACGAGTCCATAGGTTGTTTGAAGCTGTCACCGATTCCGGAACGGAAGCCCAAGCCCACAAGCCTGTCTCGGACAGGCAATACAATCTAAAAAACAGCACGAAGGACCCGACTGATACGTGTTCTCTAGAATACTAAGACTCTTCGTGTGGCACCATTATCGTGTGAGGGAGCGAAAGAGCTTAAGTAGCAAGGATCTTAGAATACCATCTTTAATGTACGATCAATGCGGCCAGAAAGACGCCCACGACCGAGGAAAAAGATCGATCCATCCCAAATTATCTTCTTGCCCAATATTTTAAAAATTGGTTCTACGGGCTTAAACCCACTCTCCAGAACTATTTTCAAATGAGTAAACAAAAGAGAGAGAAGGACACAGGAAAGCATCCACTCACTAACCCAGTTCCGTGTCATCGATTTGAACCCATCATTCCAGTACGCGGAAATCAGTGGAGCGCCAGGAACTTGTACTCGTTTGGCACGAAAAAACGTGCCTTCTGATATAATCATAATTTTTAACTGCATACAAACTGTTTAGTTCCTAATGCCCATTCTCCACAAGGATATAATGAATGGCTTGGTTGTTGCCGCAATTCAGCACCCGATTTGAATACGTTTATTATCAGGAGAAGGCTCGTTTCAGTAGCTGATGTTTCTCTTAGAAAAGAGGTGCTACCGGACATATAGATGTTCGGATCTCCACTGGCATTTCTCACCTTTTTAGGGGAACCAGATAACTGGCTCATCTCTTTTACCGCTGCATTCTATCCACCGGGCATCGGAACTTTTTAGCGTTGTGTCCCAATTATTCCCGATCCCTTTTACAACTCGATACTTAAACGTAAATATTCCGACTTCAACTCAGTGAAGAACTACTTACGAAGGCGCAACAAAGGCCACTCAATCGGCTTGCAAAATGTCCCACCCAGAACAAATATATCCGCTTGATATTCCCCCAAATGCAGGTGTCCGCACGGCCAACTCTGAGCCCAATATTTATTTCGGCATGTCCCATATGCTCAATTTCAACCTTGCCCACGTCATCTATTTCCGCCCAAATAGTCTCATTTTCGCAGTGAGTCCCGCCATAAATATGCCTCATGAATTGTGCCGTCTATCAAGTACAGGCTCCACAAAGCTTCACAGTGCACTGGGATGTCACACGCCTTCAACTGAACACCCGATTGGATACTTGACCAAGTGTGTGTCCCTGTGCTGCTCTCCAGTATCCGCTTCAGATCAGGTCGGAAAGCATGAATCACCTAACTCCACCCCCACAAACCTTGCTTGGTTTTTCAGCGCTGTCTCGCGCGTTTCAAACTCCCGGTGCCACCAACCACATAGTTTTACTGTGTGTGCACTGGAAAATTATCGGCTTCATGGTGAACTCTACACGTACCTGCAAAAACTGTGTACACCATTACTGGAATCCGCAAATTTCGAAGCAGTTTCAACCTTGGATGAATGATATCAGCCCTGTGGTATCTAGTCTAGATCTGCTTGGTTTCCTGGTGTTTTGTTAAATGATCATTTAGAGTGCGGTAACTTCCTGACCTGAATGGGTGAGACGGCAGCTCTGTGGGTGCACACCAAGATTGTCGTCTTCAGTGTTTTAGAGGCTGATACTTTTATGAAGTTACGCCCATTCCAGTATTATCTTCTGTTTGCGTCTGTTGATTGGCCTGTGGCTTCTATTTAACACTCGGAGCAAGCATCGTCAACAGCTGCACCCTGCAAAGTTTCCTTAAACCCATTCCACCTTTTCATTACGGGTATAACAAACCGACACGTGATTCCAATAGCCACCCAGGTGAACGCTCGTAAAATTCTGTAAAATTCTAGTGGTTTTGAGAAATTAATTTCCGTTTGATTCTAGTGATTGCATTTTTTAAGTAAAATATTTAGAATCACGTGACGTATCGTGCGACACTGACGCAGGTATGCACAATGAATCACATAAAATTGTGTTGTTTCGTGACAAGTTGCACTTGGACTGCGATTATGCTGGTGACAGAACCCTCTCACTTGAACACAAACACAAGTAGTCTTGTGTAGTCATGCAGAACAGGAGACTTACCCGACGATGGTCCTTCATTACCATACTTTATCGCGCGCGCTTCATCCTATGCGCCGACCGTTTTCGCGAGTTGCAGGCCCCTCTTCGGTGAGCGGCTGATTTTTTGGGGCCCAAATATGCGTGACCGTTTTATCAAAGGGCCGATGGCAGCTCTTCACGTTCTGGCAGTTTGCGACTTTCCCTTCCTCTCCTGCTTATGGTAGTCAAAGGTCCCATGCCTACGCGCGCCACTGGTCATGGATTTTGGCTGGATATAGGTTGAAGCTGAAGCAAAGTACAGATAGGACAGTTGTCGTGGGGTTGTTGGTACTGTTTTCTAGAATTCGGGAAGCTGAGCAACTTCAGCATCTTGCGCTGATGTCGCCGGTGCGACCATGTTTGAAAAATTGCTCACGCGTCTGGGATTGGCATGAGTCCGCACTCAGGTTGAACGACGAGCTCGTTTTGCGCTAAATATCTTGGAAAGCCCTTCGGAACCTTGTGACAAATTTTCCGGGGGCCACATCCGGGTAAAATTGCGCCTCTCCTGAGACCGTGTTTTCATAGAAACGGGTTTTCAGTTAGGCAACGTGGTTTCGGGACCACAGATGTGGATTTAGAACTTCCATCATGCAGACTTTCCAGAAACAAATAGCATCCTTGAGCAGTTAAAACTGGGGCTAGTATTGGCGGAAGAGTTATACGATACCTATGTTCCAAAATTCTTAAGGCTGATGCGAGATCTGACCCCCGAAAACCGGCTAGCGCTGGGACACACAAAAAGCTACCTAAAAGTATTTAACGTCTTCTGAATGTATGTCATAAACGCCCTCCAAAAAATAACTATCACTCACAGAAGACGAATTGGCATCTCGTAAATTGCGGAACCGCTGTAAGTCAGAAATCCGCCAATATAAAATACGAACACAAGCCACGATAATTGACCTCGCCCTGAAAAAACAATGATGTGCTATTTTGCCAAATGAGGAACGCCGAAGGAATAAGTTAACCAATTTATCAACGAGGGACAGAAACTTGGAATCCAAGTGAACCCAATAGTGGTATCAGAAGTCTATGCAGGCCTGTATTTTGCCCCAGCGAGTTCGCCAGCCCATGTCTTGTTAAGACGTAATCACAAACGTTCTCTAATCAACATGCGCTTCACGGAGGAAGACACTCATTAACTCTTGCACACGACAAAAGCCTTCAGCGCGTTGAGGCCGAACGTGGTCCATCCAAGAGAGAAACTTCGCCCCAGCTGGCGAGGCATATCCACCTGGGGTTTCATCAGTCACTTGACGTAGGTAACCTTTCCTACACTTTAGAGGAAGTGACTGTTACGCTAATCTACAAAATTGGTGACGGATTTTCGCTACAGCAATGGGCCTATTAGCCTCATCGGCATACACCGCAAAGTGATGGTACGCACTGTAAAGCGGACCATTCCAGATCACCCTACTACCAGCAACTTGACATTCCAAGTTCAATACGGGTTCCTCCCAAACCGTTCTTGTGTGACCAACATGTTCGTACATATGGACAGCCTAATCCAAGCACGGAACGAAAGTCTCATGTTGAATGCCGTATTTTTCGGCTTTAAGCTCATATTCACTTGTTGCAGGCTACCTGAGATCCCGGAGTTTTAATATCAGTGCCTCCAAGATGGATGCGGACGTCGCAAGTCGGCATTCGCTGGACCGCACTTTCCTATGGATGTGTTAATGCCCTACTAGAACCCGAAAATTAGTCATACGAACGAGAAAACGGGGAGCACTAACAATATCAGCTTGTTGAGTAAAATTATTACAACAGGTGCATATGCGAACAAGAGACTTATCGTATTGCAGATACAGGCTGATAAATCCTGTTGTAAGCCCGGATGCAGGCTGTTGTAGCAGCCACACCTATTTCCTGACTGTCCGTGAGTGAAGCGCCGTAAGTTTTGAGCGGCTCTGCCCCGAATTGGCCGACGTGCGTAGCTCTGTTTCATTGTGTTGCTGTGCTGGTGCCGTGTATGTAGGAACGTTTGCGTGTGTGTGGGTGTCAGCACATGACTTCTTGCTACCTTATCATTCGGTGGACAGTCGGTGTTAGATGAGTCACCGTTGTGTGTCGTGATTTATACGCGTAGGGGAAGAAGGCGAGCCTTGGGATCAAGGGCTTGACTGTGAGGCGCGTAGTCAAGTGAGTCATGATTCTGTGAGGTGATTTGTGAGTCTAAGTGGAAAAGACGGATCTCGTGATCTAGCGATTGGCGGTGACATGTACAGTCATGTATGTGGCGAACGGGTGGCTACAAGTGAGGGAAAGTGCGCCTATATGCCGTGCAGAGGAGAATCAGCAAAAGCCTATGGTGAAGCTGGAGCAGAAGACATTATCAGAGTGAATATATCATGAAAGATTAGTTATCTGACTCCCCTCAAACATGTCCTTACTCCATCGTGAAAAACGGGCTCAAAGTCATTCGGCATTTTACGGATGATCCGACGCACCCTCTCCCGTATTACTCGCATGGACTTCCAAATACTCTATGGGGACTACGTCAGACCGCTCCTGGGGTACGCCAAGCAAGTTGTCTACTAAGGACGTACGAAAAACTTCACCCTCATTGAGCGTGTCCGGCGGGCCGCCACGAGAATGGTTGCCGGCCTCAAATCCGTGGACTACGAAGCGCGTCTCGCGATGCTTGAACAAGTTTTTTCACGTTGACCCAGCAAACACCCGGCGGGGGCATAATTAGAAACTTTTCAAGCTCAGAGCACACACAATCATTAGACAAAATGTATTCTCATTTCGGGCAGTAGGTGCGTGGAATGACCTTCCTCCGACGGTTGTCCACGCTCCTTCTAGAACACAGTTTAAAGCACTGTCAGACATTTATTTATGCGAATTCTCGCGATGGCAAGCATACTGCCCCGCGCTGGGAACATAAAGAGCAGTGCTACACCCTTTTTTCATTTGTGCCTTCCAGGTGAACGACAGCCACTGACCGACAAGAACAAAACCGACCCGGGAAACTTGGGCAAAAGCCTCGATCCTGTGTATCAATCCGTGAATCCCTGAATCCGTGAATACTATGTGGAGCCTGCACCAGACACTCCTCGATCACGCCAGCCAAGTTACCTACTTAGGATGCAAAATAGTCGTAACCCTCACTGAGCGTGTCCAGCGAGCTGCTAGGAGCATTGTTTCGGGCCTTAAATCCGAGGACTATGAACCGCATCCCGTGGGGCTTGACTTTTTTCCCTAGGAGTATCGTTGCCTCCAAGAAGACCTAATTCTTACTGATGCTCTGTTTGAACAAGGTTAGTCCAAAGGGTTTTTCACCATCGGCCCAGCTAACACACGCCAGGGACGTGGTAAGATTTTCGAGCTCAAAGAGCACACTTTCATTAGCTAAAATTTCTTCCTATTTCATGTAGCTGCCGCTTGGAATAACCTTCCTCCGACGGTTTTTCGCGCTGCATTTGGAATCCTATTCAAATCACTCTTAGACGGCATTTTATTTGAGTCTCCACGCTGGCAAGATTACTGCCCAGCGCTGAGAACTCAGGGAACTGTGCTACGCCATTTTCGATTGCGCCGTTTAGCTGAACGGAGGCCGTTGGATGACAGTTACAAACCGGACCCGCGAAGTTCGGGCGAAAATTTCTACTCTGTGTGTCAATCCGTGAATCCGCGAAACTGTATGATAAAATATACCGTAGAATAGTGGAATAGTAGAACAGTAGAATAGTAACCCTTCCAAAGTGGTCAAAAACTGTGCGCATCGCTTTGTATTTCAAGTTTATATAATAGTGGCTTTCTGGTAATCCGGAGGCCACGAAGCAACGTTGCCACCACTTATTTTATGTATATTGGACAATGATTGGTTGATGGGTTTACATTTTCGACCAATCACAGTTAGGTCGGATTCTGTACCAGGAGCGTAGTTCACGTGCTCAATCGCCTAAGTAGTGTACCATTCCTTCCGTTTTGTTTGATTTATATGTAGCTCTTGGCGACGTACATCCTTGATTACTGGGCGTCGGCTCATGAGAATTCTTTCAGCCCACAGAAATTGTCGTGAAAACCTACATTCACTGTCCCCTGATGCCTCCATAGCCAGTTGGGAGTTCGGCTTATTGGTCTTGACAGCGCCTAATTACAAGTGACAGCGTATTCTCGTCATGCGATTTTGCATTGCTAACAGTAAATAATTTCCCACCGGGAATCCTGCTGCTGAAGTCGGAATGATTGTCGATGGCTTCTTTCTTAACCTAGGTTAGGAAAACTTTGGGAGGCGTAAAAAGCATACGCCTGCACGCTATTTGCAACAATGCAGATCAGGGACATTTTTGGCGGCTGGTAATGCTGAAAAATATGGACTTGCCTTCGCTAAGTATCCGTGTTTTTTGGCAATGTTTCCCAGGACCGACTAAGCGGGCTATAGACCAAACGAGTTGCTCATTCTGTGCCCAGCGATACGGTGCAGTTGGTGACAGTGGAAGTAATATTTCTGGACCAGGGTGGAGGTCGGTGATGTATTCGTAGAAGCTAGGGTCAACAGGAGCTTCCTTTTTCAACTCTCCTGCTTTAGATAGGGCGCTATCCGATAGCACTGGGACTGGGTTAGAAACACAGCTGAGTGTGAAGCGCCTTCCATTACCTGTTCGAGACTGCTCTCGAACACTTCGGGTGACTCGCCATCAAATTCTTCGGTGACTACCTTCCGAGAGACCCTTGTTCAGCCATAAAGACCGCAAACTTGCCGTGAGTTGGCTATAGCTGCAACAATTTCATTTGCTGATGATCTAAATAGGTGGGGTGGACAGCTACGCATTTTAGGCGGTAGATGGTATAAGTGATGCGCCAATACGGGGATGTCGGGGTGGTCGGAAGGGAAAGCCATACTTTAAAGTCGGCAGCCTGGATACAAGCACGGCTGGGACCATGCCTCTATCCATTGACGTGTCCCGTCTAGGAGTCTCCATCCGGTGAGATAGCAGTGACCTGCGCAGCTGAGTTTACGGCTAATGGCCTTCATACATCACTGTTGTCGTTTGGTCTCCACTGACTGGTTTCTAGCCTTCGCGTGATTATGCGAAAGTTGGTCGGCTGACACGTGGCCAAGCCAGTGCAACCTATGGAGTTTGTCCGGCTTCTCTGTTGCAAGCGAGTTATTTCTTCTGAAAACCATTCAGCATTATCGATCCGGTGTACCAACCAGGCTCGGGCCACGCTCCGAAGACATCGATGGTCAGACAGTGAAAGTTTTTTTGAGATTTTCAGCGCGACTCAGCCAGGCTTATGACCCTGTAGCGATTTGGAGCGCTCCGCAATATTATGAAAAAATTATTCAGCTGTAGCACCCTTTCGGTGACTAGCTGCCATGCCATCCAAAGGAAGCACAAGGGCTTGGATACTGCCAGGTTGTCCAAGCCTAGACAGGAGAATTCGAGAGTCAGAGGTCAGGTTCAAACCATGGGCCTTCTGGTCAGTAGTTTCGCGCTCTAACCATTGCGTGGTGGTAACCTATACTTGGACAGATTTTGATGTGGCACAAGGCTACGGAGGTTGCTGCTAAAAGTGCTGTCCACTATCAGGATGAAGCCCATTTGACCCTCCCTATACTCGGCTGGAGACGCCGAAAGAGATGACGGCTAACCGACCAACGGCGTTCATAATGTCAGTTCTGTCAAAGGTGTAGGCAACTCGGATATTTGTGGTAGGTTAGCCGTTGCTCTCCCTCTCTGTCTCACTTCTTTCTCCGTGTTATAGAGATTTATTAAAATAAATTCACATGATATGGAATTTTTGGTTATAAAGCCAAAACGATGAGATACAATTGTCAAAGGGAGGCTTCAATTTCACGTTATCCGGAAACCGCTAACACCCAGTTAAGTAATTCCGGCTGTAAAACCCGCAATCTCGGAACCTCCAGTAGAGAGATGAGAGAAAGCTCGACTACGCATCTGCGTTATTCTCAAAAACCAGCGACCAATCCGAAGTAACCTGTCGAGAGAGGAGATAGGTGTACTGAACTCACTGAAGATAGCCAAGTCTATCCACATCACCAAAGCAGACAAGCGACACGTAACGGCTATTATGAATCGAAAGGACTATGAAGACAAAGTGCCTAAATCCACGTAGTTTCATGGCAATGAAGCACGGACGCTGCTGTCATTGATGATGATGATTCCCGCCCGATGACTCAGAACGATGCCCGCTCACATAACCAGTCACTTAGGTTCCTGAATCACTAGAGGTGGATGGCCAGGCGGGGAGAAAACTGACTCTTGAATTAATTCAACAAAGACATCTGGGTCTCGGATTCTGGTTTTGAATAGGCATCACATATCAGTGAGTCCAGCTTGAGGGCAATAACAGTCTGCTGTCTCGCCTCCTTTAGAGGATACAAAAGTCAGCGAGAACATCGTGCTTCAAGGGTTACTTTCGGTGTATCCACGGCTGTGGTTGTTCCGCAACGCTCGGTTAAAAGTGAAGCAAATCATACGGATGTTTTTATCCATGGGGAGGGGAACGAATACGGTACCATCGGGCGAGGGCCGATTTCACCAGACCATTTTATGCGTTTCACGGTCGTAGTCTTGGATACTGCTAAGGTGTCCAGACAGGGAGGAAGGCAAATGAAGACCTCACCCAAAGCCATTGGGTCGAAAGCATAACAAAACAGCTATGACTGGTGAAGACTATCGCAGTCTACATTTTTTAAGAAGTCGCTCCAATTTCCAACTATGAAGGCTAGGAGACGGGGTCGGTAAGCACTCTACCATCTGACCAACCTGGAGTAAAAAATTCTGTCATATGGACTCCAATGTAGCTCAGCCGGTCATAGAGGTGTATGATTCATCATACCTCGGTGAGGCCCAGCGTCTTCGTGATACTGCGATGCCTATTCTTTGAATAGGTATTATTCGATGGGTCACACCAGGTATTGTGGATGGGCTCTCCTTTTGGGTCATTTTCTACTCTGTTCACATTCTCAAGTGACGTCTTTCCAACTCCGCTCCACTATAATTACTAGCTGCTGGTTTACCTCCTGGAGAACCGAGCCCTTAATATAGACTGTGCACACGACATATTTTAGAGTTAACTGCCCCGTAACATTCTTACTCGCTAGACAGCAACCATACGAACGATGTTTCTTCGCATTCCAGCCCATATCAAATGCTACCTTCATTGGCCACAGCTCTGTCGACTAATCTTTTCCATTCTGCACGCTTCCTCGGATTGATCGTCCCAAACAGACTGTTCACCTTCACCGCTGCGCGGTTAAAAAAAGAGAGTAAGTGATTCGCTCGTACCCTTTTCCATACTGTCTATTATCTGTTGCAGTTCGCTACTCCGTTGAGGGGAATCGCACCACGGTAGGTATTTATGTTGAACTGAGCCGATTTACCACGCTTTCCTCCCCCACACCAGATTGAAGGCGTTCATGTCCCGTCTGAGCGTTCTGGCAAGGTCTTGTGCCTAGATGGTTTAGGTGACCCGCGAGATACAGATCCAATAAGTCGTTTGAATTTGAACCTCACTCACACGGTAGATGCATGAATCGGTCAATGTTCATTTTTACAGGATGTCCGGATTTTGTCCCAGTTCCTGCGACCTGACGGTACGATTCTCCCTCGGAAAATTAGCGGAATCAGTTTGCGCAGTCAACTGGTAATTGAACTATTGATTGAACGAGCCAGAAAAGCTGGTGAGCATTTCGATTCACACGTGCCTCTTTTTAATTTCCGTTTTCTTGTTGGTTGTTATCAGCTGGTAGCTGTCAAAAAAACCGTGAGGAAAACCTTGGTAAGGGGTGGAAAGAAAGGAGAAGTTTAGGGACTCGTTGGGAGAGTCCTATATCCTTAAGGAAACCGATGAAGAATAAGGTACCTACACATTTGGACAGAATCAGAATAAACACATGAGCATTACGTCGAATTTAGACGCCACCAGCGGAATTGGCCTCGCGTTCTTTGCGCACTTCACCCGATATGAGCCCAGTGCACAACGACAGGCAGATTTCAACTAGACAGTCAGGCTAAGATATGCTGGCATGCGCTCACTAGGCCCGGTTGTGTGCCATGTCCCGCCGGGTTTTCAACCAGCTGAAAGCAGGATCACACGGACCCCAGCCAAGATGCCGAGAAGATCCCACGGCACTCGGTTTGACTGTAATTACTTTCGTTTCTGGTTACCGTGTCATGGCCTGCCCACCGCGAATCATTGGCCAACAATCGATTGGCACAGAAATATGTTGGTCCTACTTTGACCACAAAACAGTCCCACTTTACATCTAATTTAAAAACGATGACTGCTCCGACTCGAAGTAAACAATCAGGAGATCGGAACACTAACATCATTGGATGTAAGCCTGGCTCGTGCGTTTCAGTAAACACTGCATGTTTTTGCAGGACGGTCCAGTGCCACCCCTCTTGGTATGGACCCACCAGAATAATTACTGGAGGACGGCTGTTCGAACGAGAGTGGTGTGAACGTGAACAAATAAAAGCCACTTAGGAGACAGCACAGTTTTCAGACATTTACTAATCGATGACACGAACTAAACTATTCACTACGTTGAGGTTCAATATGATCTACTTCGTTGACCCCACAAACAAAAAGTTCCTTGAAATTGAGTGATACGAATTCGATTCTCGCCAGTATGCTCAATTCGGCTACAGCTTCATGTAGGAATTATGGTGTTTAAGCGTACACCTGGTGACCGCTGGAACATTGCTACAGAGGGTGAACAGCTTGCTGTTTGTGTTCTCCAACCTGACCTTCATTTTCCACATTGCTCTAGGTTTACTCCCCGTGAGCATAAAACCTTCGGGCGAACATGTCTACCAAGAACGAGGCCGTCACCGCTTCAATGTTTACTATGCATCTGATATGATTGGACTACCGACTCTGGAAAAAAGAAACAAATTCCGTTATATCCCACCCGAATAGTCTTTGATAACCTTCAGCACTATATTTCGATTTTCATTGTACAGCCTACTTGCTTCAGTATGAAGAATAAATTACTTCCTATCTTGTTTTCTTTCGGGTTTCGGGATTGAAAGGGTTGCACGGTCTATAAGGATTAAGTGCAAGTGATCTATGAGTAATCCTCAAACGAGCAGTGCATATTTGCCACCTAGAGGAAGCATCTTGTTGACGTTCGAATCAGCACAGACCGTAACGTGGGTTGATAAAAATAACAGGCCCGTAACACATTTCAAAGTGTCCTCTGTGTTCTTCCAGTCTGTTCTAGTCAGCACTTCGTGTTTTCTATGTTATTACCAAACATAATGTGAATCGGTTCCGTCATCCAGAGAACTTAGAGTGAATGAATGATTAATCGGATGCTCTCAGATATAAGTAGCTTCTTTTCATTTCTCGATTGTAGCAGTCGACAGTCTGCATTGATCGGTATTGTCAGTTAGTTGTAGGTGGTTGCAGTATCTGTGGAATTAGTTGGTTAGTTATCACGCTGAATCGCGTTTCCAACAAAAATCCGTGTATTCCGGGCACGAGGGCTGGGATACTGCCAGGCTGCCCAAGCGTAGACAGGGGAAATCAAGAGGTCGGTTTCGAATTGCGGGTCTTCCGGTCAGTGTGTGCGCATTCTAACCTCCTCGCCCCACGTTTTCAACAGAAGTCCGTGTTTCACGGCGCAAAATTCCATGGAGGTTATTGTGGCATGCTCCACGAAATTTTGCGCCGTGTGAAACACGGACTTCTGTTGAAAACGTGGGGCGAGGAGGTTAGAATGCGCACACACTGACCGGAAGACCCGCAATTCGAAACCGACCTCTTGATTTCCCCTGTCTACGCTTGGGCAGCCTGGCAGTATCCCAGCCCTCGTGCCCGGAATACACGGTTTTTTGTTGGAAACTACAGCTTCATGTAGGAATTATGGTGTTTAAGCGTACACCTGGTGACCGCTGGAACATTGCTACAGAGGGTGAACAGCTTGCTGTTTGTGTTCTCCAACCTGACCTTCATTTTCCACATTGCTCTAGGTTTACTCCCCGTGAGCATAAAACCTTCGGGCGAACATGTCTACCAAGAACGAGGCCGTCACCGCTTCAATGTTTACTATGCATCTGATATGATTGGACTACCGACTCTGGAAAAAAGAAACAAATTCCGTTATATCCCACCCGAATAGTCTTTGATAACCTTCAGCACTATATTTCGATTTTCATTGTACAGCCTACTTGCTTCAGTATGAAGAATAAATTACTTCCTATCTTGTTTTCTTTCGGGTTTCGGGATTGAAAGGGTTGCACGGTCTATAAGGATTAAGTGCAAGTGATCTATGAGTAATCCTCAAACGAGCAGTGCATATTTGCCACCTAGAGGAAGCATCTTGTTGACGTTCGAATCAGCACAGACCGTAACGTGGGTTGATAAAAATAACAGGCCCGTAACACATTTCAAAGTGTCCTCTGTGTTCTTCCAGTCTGTTCTAGTCAGCACTTCGTGTTTTCTATGTTATTACCAAACATAATGTGAATCGGTTCCGTCATCCAGAGAACTTAGAGTGAATGAATGATTAATCGGATGCTCTCAGATATAAGTAGCTTCTTTTCATTTCTCGATTGTAGCAGTCGACAGTCTGCATTGATCGGTATTGTCAGTTAGTTGTAGGTGGTTGCAGTATCTGTGGAATTAGTTGGTTAGTTATCACGCTGAATCGCGTTTCCAACAAAAATCCGTGTATTCCGGGCACGAGGGCTGGGATACTGCCAGGCTGCCCAAGCGTAGACAGGGGAAATCAAGAGGTCGGTTTCGAATTGCGGGTCTTCCGGTCAGTGTGTGCGCATTCTAACCTCCTCGCCCCACGTTTTCAACAGAAGTCCGTGTTTCACACGGCGCAAAATTTCGTGGAGCATGCCACAATAACCTCCATGGTTAACTGTCGGCTACATTCCTGCAATCCACTAGGGCTAGTTGAACGCAAGTACTCCGATCACACAACTAGCTGGGTGCCTCTAGAAATTAGTCTCCAAAACTTTGTCATCATCTGCCTGTGTTCGGTTTGGTTGTAAAACAATGTTCAAACCTAACATGTATGATCGGGGTTTCGATTTTATTAGATGGCCTTCAGGGAGTCGCGCTTTGGGCTTGCAAACTGCAGCTCGCCCGCGGTCTGGATAACTATGTTGTAATTGTCATCAGAAGGAAAAGTGGTCATCATCTGGATTCTACTTGACCTCAAACCCTCAAACTAAATTGTCGAAGCACTCAAACCCCACAAAACCAGGGAAAATCTACCAGTGGCAACCGAGGTGACTCATCAGTTGATACACCCTGAAGTGGAATATTACGAACCCAAACCCGATCGGAATTAATTACCCCCCCCCAAGATTTTGACAACTTCACTAACCGACAAGAGCCGCAATTGACACTCAACACTAATCTAGTGTGATAGTTTGAAGAGGACTGATTGGTTCCCCGTCTGCCTTATAACCTGGCCAATTCGGTGACCTGCTCACTTGGCCTGATGAAGCTTTTGTGCCAAAAGCGAAATGTTGCCCAAATAAAAACTACCGATTGCTTATCAAGCTCTTCTGGGACGATGACTTCTCAATCGGTTCCAAATCTTTTCCAATATGTTGTAATTTGTTTAGTTAATGGGTCATTAACTCGTGGATGTTCAGAATGCGATGCCCAAGTTTACTAGCATAATTACGGGCGCGCGACTTCCAAGGTAGAAGCTTAGTTCACCTGGGCATACTGATGGCTTTTGGGTCGCTCCAATATGCTCACCTCTCGGTTGCATTCCCTCAAGTTTATACGGGTAGACTGTCCAGTCAGCTTCATATCCTGGTCACCGCAGGCCTGCGTTGCAGGTCTATCGAAATCGTTTGATGTAACAAACAAATACGGAAGCAGATACCATTCCTCCATGACCAAAAATAAGGGAATGCACACTGGTGGGTCTTTTGTAGCTTTGTATGCATCTTCTGTGTCGAACCGGACAGCAAATCACATGTGACTTCAAAATTGGGGCTTCCAAAGATCAGCCCCTCATTTTCCTGTATATCACGATTGGGAACCGGACGTTTCAATGTATGTTCATTTCAATCCATACTACCCGATCAGCCGGATCATTGGTTCTTTGAATATCTGGTTGTCAGACTGGCCCTTTTTTTTATTGAAATTGAAATTGTTCAGCTGTAGCACCCTTTCGGTGCCTAACTGGCATACCATCCGAAGATTACAAGAGGGCTTAGATACTGCCAGGTCGCCCAAGCCTAGACGGGAAGTCGAGAGGCAGAGGTCGGGTTCGAATCACGGACCTTCTGGTCAGGAGATTCGCGCTCTAAGCACTTGAGCCATCTCGCCCTTATCGAAATATGGATATAAACACGCTCACAACCATGTGAGGCAAAGCCAGGGTATTTGTATACTAAGCTGAGTTAGACACTTGGACACATTTGAAGAACCAGGTTTCTCGAATATGTGGTACAATATAAGTGGATGGAAACTGGTGATCAAGAAGGTCGCATGCCCGAATCATGTTGATTTTTTCGCTTATTTTGGACCAGTCGTAATATGATTTCGTTCTCTCAGCATACATTATGCTTTGAGAGTTCTGTGCGTACCGAATAGTGTGTTGAAAACGTGAGTTTTGTAGACCGAACACCCTACTCACGGGGGTACTTAAAGTTGTTTGACAGTCAGCCACCGGTTTCGCTTTTCTTGAGGCTCATCAAGCAGGTAGTTCTAGTTTCAATCAATCTTTTACTGTCAAGAATATCAAATGGAACACAATTGACGGAGAACACTCATTTGCAAATTAAGTTGGTGTTTGCGAGGAACTCAACTGAATGTTTCGCTTGTGACATTCCTGAATTGAAAGTACCGCCCAGAAGTCACCTCATATTTCAGTTGGCACGATTTTTGAGATGCCACGGTATACTTCTTTAATGAAGAACATCACTGAAACGAAGGATTCAGCTGGGATTCAATCAGGTTCCCCGTTAACGCCAACTTACTTTGCGAGTGAGTATAAACAACTGACAGCCATTCTGTCGTCACGCGTAGCTGTTCATTTGGCCAATCGGGCTTCACCTAGTCCTGGGTTGTTAAGTACTAACTTATGAAAATGAGTCTCCCCCCCCCCCCCCATGTACACACAGAATTGAATCCTGTCGACTTTTCCCGAATTCCGATTTATCCAGTGGTTCACTAAGTTAACATCTAATGAATCACACCAGACCTTGAGAGCTCCAGTGCAAAGGCAAAGTGGAACCTAATGACAGTGTTGGTGTGTGGGAACCAAAGTTTTTTATGGAAATTTCAGACTTGACGAGACAGTTGCATTGTCCGCATCCGTACCACTCAACTTTACTAAAAACCGCGTGGTTATAGTCGATTGGATAAATTTTCTGTGGATACCAACGTTTCGATGCCCTTTATACTAAAAAAAATCCTTAGGAATATTGACTGTCTTGCTCATAAAAACTGCGTTCCAAGGATAGTTCTGTCAAAATAATGACAAAAGTGTTTTTGGTTGTCTTTCTAGGATGATCTTCGGTGTACCTGCCAGTTCCTGTTTTTATTGTAACATGTACAGTGATCCCTCCGAGGAAGGGACACCACACGGGAGTTTTGGATCGTTCTTTTGGCGTGGCCTCTTTTCTGGGAGAGGGGTTGCATGGAATTGTGGCCGACAGGAAACATCAATATGGCCTATTATGGGAGGTGCGTCTCTAGAACGGACTGTTCTACGTACCAGGGTTTTCATGGTGACGGGAAGCAAAGTTCTTGAGTAATATAACTAATCTCCGGTAGGCCGTTTGAATTGGCCTTCTGCAAACTCCACGACCAGATTTCATGTCAAATGAAACGCGTACAATGTGCACAGAAACCTGTTCCATACTAGAAAGCTGATCAGAGTGAACAAGCAAGTCAACTGTGGTGACAAGACTCTTGATATTCTTGGTGAAATTGGTCAGTTTGTGCTTCAAAATACAGCTATTCTGGAAAGAGATCCTCCAAACAAGAACACACCAGCAACCAGTCGTGTGATTTGGCATGTAACTGACACCCGAATGGTCACTGTTGCCTCCGAACAACCGCCAGCGTACGTAGAGGCGAAATGATTTCACCCGAGGATTTCCCAACAAGGAACAGGGCATAAAGTACCGTGTCTTGTAGTTCCGTACAAGCCTGACTAACTCCATTACAGCCACGTCTGCTTATCACGTGTCTAGGGATGTGGAAATATTATTTCCACCTGTAGGACACTACTTCAAGTGTCCCTCTAACTGGAGACTGTCTGAAACGACCGGCCAAAGCGGCCTCCTTTCTAATGGTCTAGTGGGCCGGTAATCCGGTGCTGTTTGTTCAGAGAACTCCGTGTAGCGTCTTCTTACGCAATGTTTTGTCCGCAAAATGGCCGTTCATACTGCATTGTTCAACAGATATCATCGTGATCTGCACAGTTGGAATGCGCCGCAAAATCTTCCCTGTGGATGTTTTACTCTGAAGAGCGACAACTGTTCTTTCTACCACTTGAAAGCGTCTGTTTGATCTCCGTAGTGGAGTGAATAGTGCTTATGGTGAGACTTTTTCTTAGAAAGGAGACCGCATTTGACCTACTTGTCCTTCTAGAAATTAAGCTCGGATTGATCTTGTGAAACAGCTCTGACCATTTGTGATTATGATCCATACTACTCTTTCAGCTGCGTTCGTACCCCAGCTGCCGTGCCACCCGAAGGAAGCATGGGGGCTGGGATACTGTCAGGCTGTCCAAGCCTAGACAGGGGAAGTCGAGAGGCAGAGGTCGGGTTCAAACCACGGATCTTCCGGTCAGTGAATTCGCGCTCTAACCACTTGAGCCCCCTCGTCCTGACTATGATCTAAATAGGCACAGCTACGCACAATGCCTCCGACGTAGTACATGAAATTCCGTACTTTCCAGATAACTAAAATGAAATACAACTTTGGTTTCGCTTAGCACGTCCTTAGACTGCGTCATGAATATTAGTACCATTGGGCCGAAAGTAAGTCAAAGGCTGTGGAATTTATTTACACTGGGTAAGCACATCTGAAGAGGTTCTGAGGAGACATCCGGTACTTCCAGGATCGTTGGTCAGCGTGAAAGTTGAGAACTACAAAAAGCAGAAAAAATGTTTAAACTGCTGCCTTGAATACCTTCATTCATGAAGCAACGTGTGCACAGGCAGAAGTCATCAGCCAACATGAAGAGAGTCGTGTGAGTTCGTAGGAGAAATTCCGGTGACAGAAAAGCAGGTATATCAAACAAAACTGTTCGACGTTTTGGGCACTGATGGTAACCTTTTTCAGGATAGAAAAGAATAGCAATAGTAGCAATACAAATAATCAAAAACCGGTCGATATGCTGACACATCTGCTGTTCCAAATCATAGTTGCCCTGGCGTCTATTTGTGTCTTACTATGTTCATATGTTGGGACTGAATTGTCCAATCAAGTGCAACCTGTCACACTCGAATGGGCCGGACCGGATGGCAGATGAATCAACGCTATCAGACCGGTTAATGCACGAAGATGTCCAGCAAACAATCTCCGTGGTTTCACGTGGAGCGTTGCTACCTCATAGACGCCATCCTCGATGGCATAAAACCCCGGAAATTTCCAGTTAACATACTGTTTAGTCATCAGTATTTCCACTTGGAACGCCCATAGTGCCTCAACTGTCAGTCAAATCTTCACACTCATGTGGAGGTCCTCGAAACGGTTATCCATTATCTTGTACATTTGGTCTTTTTTTCGTCACTGGTCAAAATGCGCATCTGTCTGTAGCGATATGGGGAACTCGAATCCTCTGAGTATGTGAGGTCTTTATGGGAACGACTCAAAATAGGGGTGGGCATTTAACCAGGCGAATATACTCGCAGTGACACCACTCCTAAATGGAAAGTTTTCTTAACGCCTTAAACACGCATACGTAAATGTATTGAACAAAGCAGTGGCGTTCCAGTTGGAGTTGAGGGAATTACGTTCAGCTCGCGTACGAACCCAAAAGTAAGATGGCCTCTCATTTTCAGTTGTTCATTCTTTTTTTCAGGTAACCACAGTGTTGCACGGAAGATGGCCTTTGTCTTGGGGACTTGAAGTTGTTGGGTTACGTAGTTGCTTCACTTTGATGTACGATAGGGAAAAGTGATTTTCCCAAAAAGAGCAGGTCACAGTCAAACCAAGACCGCCAAAGTTGTTCTCCTTAGTAGACCTTCTTTTTAAGGGACTACTCTGGTTGGGGGAGAGAAGGATACGTGTGACGAACCGTGCCAAGGAGTTCTGTGAAATTCACATACTCGTGTATGAACCTGTCTATTTGAAAGGCAATGGATATGCCCAACCCGATTAACAAACGAGTGGCCACTGTTTGGCACAAGATACTACTTGTAAGGTCGCTGAAAACTCGATGACTGTCCACCACTGGTTTCGGGCTTCTTGGAGCTCAGCACACAGACAGAGTCTCAAAGCTTCCACCAACTTTATGTTCTACTTTACCACCCAGTTGTACAAAAGTGTACAAACTCCACTCTAATTTGGTTTTACCAAGAGACTCAACTGAATCTTTCGTTTTTCAACCTAGTGTACTGCACGTCTTATGTTTCAGCTGGCTTGATATATCGGACGTCATAAACAGAATATTCACTTTAGTCCTACGTTAATACCAAAGTGATGCTCAGATGGGTGTATTTTGTCAAATCTATACCGGAGCATACTAAACGAGATGGAGCAGAGATAAGGTTGAACTGAAAACGGTCAGACAACTGATTATGTCAAGAGCTCAAGAATGTGCATCTGCGCCGAAATCTGGAGAAGCACAGCGCAGTCGTTTAATTCGTGTTTGAAACGCTCTGAGTTGCGCGTCGCGAAAATCCATGGAGAGATTCGAACCCGCAGCCTACCATCACAAAGGACCGGTCGGCATATGGTCAGTTTACAGGTGGACAGGATAAAGCCTCAATCAGCTTTCAGTCACAGTTCGCATGGCGGTACCCGGGATCGACTGGTTCCTCGAGTGATACTTCACAGATGGAAGGCTCACGTAAATTTTTACAGTGCGTTTCCACTTTTCAGGGGATGGATCTACAGCCGAGACCTTTCAAATTCGAAGAGAGTTTGTAATGCACTACTCATAAGGTTGCTGAAAATCCGTCGACATCCCACTCCAAGAGAGTTTGTCCAGCAGGAAAGGCGCTGTCTGCCGACACAATTCAACTAGGCCGTGGCCGTGAGGTTGCGGGCTCAAAACCCGCTGCAGTTTCGTGAGACCCGCACTACTGATGATTCCCATTGAATGAAACAACTCTACACTGCTTCTCGGTTTTTCAA